TATTGCGACATTCTCCATTTATATAATATTGTGATTGCTACATAAGTTCAGTAACATCTGTAAACCTGAAGAAGGCTGGTATGGCTAGCCGAAATATTGTCATAAAAAACAATACACGTTGTTTTAAATCAGCTTTGCAGTAGTCTTTGGACTTCTCGTTCTTAATTAATATTTAACTTTTTGAAACAAAAGAAGTTAATTTTTAACTTTTTGTTAACCGTAACTGAAAAAAATTAGCCGATAGCCGTAAAAGAGCCAAAATTTTAGCCGATAACCGTAAATGCCACCACCCCATTGAGACCCTCTTATATGGATAAATTCGTGTCAAAAAGACAAAGCTTTACCTGTTAAAACTTCCAATCCGAACTTCGTCACCTTCTTCGTGTATTTCGGAAACAGCTTGCTTGATTAGTTTCGAAATTTCTTTGTTTGTTTACGGCAGCAACCGGGAAGGCATTTTGCTCGCAACGAGTTTGGCGTCGCTCGCTCGGAGGAACTGGAGTTGAATCAGTGAATAGTGCAGGATATTCACTGATTGAGTAGCCAATCAGAGCGCGCGAAAAACACTATCCACTGTTGTAGTATATACTAAATAGATTTAGCCAGGGCTAAAAGCGAGGCTCTCATTAATAAATTTATAATTCAAATCAAACAATAAACTTGCCTTTCCACAATTCAGTTAACTTTAGAGCACATTCATGTGACTTTGAGGGAAAGGCTAAGCAATTCTAGAGAAAAATAATTTGGAAACAGCCCAAGAGTGAATCAAATCTTACATCGAGTTGATAGCCTCATATGTACAACAAAAAACTGGAAATCATCTTCGATCACATTTAAGAGCCATAATGGCTCTTGATCACCGTAGATTAATTAGGCCTGGAATTCAATACTCAGGACGATCGAAGCATGCGTGGGCTTTTAGCTAAACCGTTAAAAAAATTCCAAAATCACCTATACGGCCAGCCGGTTCTCACTTTTGCAGTGCGAGCTGTGGCGAGTGTTTGAATGAACATTAATTAGAGTTAAGCTCCAACAAAAATAAAGAAATTATTATGTTTATTTTTTATTTAATGGTTTAACACGCGGCATTTTGAGTACTCCTGCAAGCGATGTTCACTGAAGGACTGAAAACAAACGGCACAGCGATTAAAATTAGAAGAGAGACTACTAACAATCAATAAAAGAAATATAAATCGGTGAAACATATACAGAGACAACAACTTTCGTTCACGAAGACAAGTATTAAAGTGTCTCTAGGATAAATGAGTGAATCTAAAATGGGTAACTGGTATTTCCTTTTCAAGAGTTACCATCACGTTAAACCATCTTTCTACAAACCGATTCGAAGCACAAGCCCGGAAAGCAGTAGCCTGCGAGGGGCAGACGCTTTTTTCGGCTCTTGTTTCACCCGCCGAAAAAAGCGTCTGCTTCCTGCAAGCTAGGAAATTAGTAACGGTTAGAAGATGTGACAGGGTTCCTAAAAATTTGTTGATGTCTCATGCAAAACAGTTACATTTTTGGCACTTGATATAAGCAAAAACTAACCAAGTTTTAGCCAGGTTGTGGCTCCATGACTTTCATATTTTGTGTAGACTATATAAATACTCGACGCAATTTAACATATGTTTTGGACCTATTTAAAAAATTCAGTGTTTTCGCTTTTGAAAAAAGGGAAAGAGGCTAGGAGAATAAATACTGCATGAAACGTAAACGATTTGCAAGGAGAAAAGGATGTGCCTTGAACATTGAATTCATGGAAAACCTGTTGTTTGAACGGACGCTTTAATTCTCTGAGAGGATACCTATTTGCTGAGTTAGGATTTCGAGTTAGGAATGGTGTAACTAATTGGAAGTTGTTACGGGGTATCGGCGATTCCAGGTTATTAGTCGGTTACCGGTTACCGATTTGCTACAGGAAACCCATATTTTACGCATTTGTGCACCCTGAAACCAAGAAATAGCTAAGAAATAGCAATCTTAGACATGTCAAGCAACACTTCTTTCACCAATTTTGGAAAGTGAGCGCGTTTACATCCAACTCCTAACTAAGACGTCAACTAAAGAGGACTTTCGAGGACTCTACGTATTTTCACTGCTGTTTTGCTGTTTAGTGCAAAAATTGAAGACTGCGTCGTCATTGCCTGCTTTATTCTTTACATTATCGATAAAAAATGAGTCCATGACGATAGAGCTTGGTCTAATACGGACACTTTGGCACACTCTTGAATAACATACCGCAGTAGATCAATGGTGCACCAAGAATATGAACAATGGACTGTTTTTATTTGTTCAGGACCTCGTAGCTGTGGAATTTTCAAGTTCCTGTGGGCTGGCGTAGAACCAAAAGCAGTAATCGAGCATAATTCATTCTTTCCTCGACAAAAACGAAAATCTAGAGACCGTGGGATCAGCACATTGATATCGTGCTTTTAATTTTCATCAAATGCCTTCAAGGTAGGTCATACCAGTTTTAAGATTTTAGTGACAGGCTTCCCAAACTCACTATGTGAGAACGGTTGTTAAAAATATTTATACATGTAGTAATATTGCATGACGTAAGGATTTATAGGGTTCATACGGGAAACGTAAAAAACAGGGGCCCCCAAAGACCGAATGTTTCCAAATATGTCAGAAGTGTTTCGAATAGTTTTCTCTATGCTTTAGAAGCCTGTTTGGTTAACTTGATGCCTTAAAAACTATTAATTTTCTCCGATGTTTTAGGGGAACTTATAAGTCGACTTTAAAGTTTTACATCGCCCAGAACATCCGGACACTTAAGGTACGTTCACAGACGTTAACGCACGAAAATTTTAATCACTTAAATCAAATAGAGGCAAGATATAAGAGATATATGAGAAAACAATATTTTGTCGCAATTAATTTGTTGGGCGAGTGAGGGTCCATTCAAATGACAATAATGAGTGAAGGCTTGCCTCTAAATTCAAAATACACTGTATATTAAAATGGGCCGCCAGAAGGGGGGGTTTTTAAGCTTTCAGGCACACAGCCACCTCTTGTAATTTTTTTGTCATGAGTTTATATAACCATTTGACAGTTATCCATTTCCGTGTCCGGGTCATAGCTGAATAGAAAGGAAAGGAGCCGTCCGTTTTTGTTTGTTTGTTTTTTGTTTTCCTGATTTGGTTCCGTCGTGTCAGTGTCATGTCTGGAGTCTGAAACAGGACAAGGAAGTCTGTTTGGATCTCCATCTGATCACGAGAATCACAGCAGCCCCTCCCATAAAAGTTCGAGTTCAACAAGAGAGAATGACCTAGATCATTCTCTCTTGAGTTCAATTATTGGGTCATTATTTTATTCTGCGGAACTAAAAATTATTTTTTTGTAGTTATGTGGGATAAATAGTCAACTTTGTTATCCGACGCAAATCAACAAAGGATTTAATTCAAGAAAGTCTAGTCGCCGAGAATAGCTACGCATTAATGTTTCCAAAATGAAATCTGTTCCACTAAAATCCAGCAACGTTGCAAATTCCAAAGCAACAAACAGATTAGAAGATGAATAGATTGCAAACTTCACTTGAGACTCCGGGAGATGGCTGAAATTCTGGCTAACTGATAACAGTTAGAAACTACCACTGCAATACCTGACTACCGCTGAAACTATTCTCTGCGAATGTAAATCTTGTCCACTAAATTCCAAAGCCACAAACCGCCTTAAGCTCTTCTTGAAGTCGCAAAGCCGTATTAAAATGGATAACCGTCAAATGATCAGTAAACTGCATGGAAAACGATTACAAAAGGTGGCTGTGTGAGGAAAGCTTGAAAGAGTGTCTTGAAAACCCGCTTCCTTAGGCGCAATCTTAATATATTTAGAATATAGAGACAAGCTTCCACTCATTACTAATACTGTCCTTTGCATGGACACTCACTCGCCAAACAAATTGGGACAAAATACTGTTCTCTCATACTCGGAGATGATACCAGTTTGTTTGTTTTTTTCTTCCTTTTTCGTTTTATGTTATGTTATGTTATTTATTTCGTTATCATAAGTTTGTAAAAAATTATATTTTATTATTGTAATTTTTTTTTTTTTTCATAAGAAAATATTTTAATTTTTTCATGTTCCGGGATGTTCTGGCATGTTCCGTGTTCCGGGTTTTATCGATGCCTAGATTTGGGCGAAGGTACCTCACGAAAATCGCCATTTCAAAATACCTAATGTCTACTTTTGTTATATCAAAGAGCGGCTTTTTATAGTTAAAGGGGGGCTAGTATTCGTGCAGTTCTGCAAAACAACCAGGAAAATCCAACGAAAATAAATTAATGTAGACTTTTTGCTTTCAAAACTTTTCTTTTTCGGTGTTTCTAGTATGGGATTAAAGACAATGGCTACCGTGAATAAAGTTAGCTACCCTGCGTGTTGGGTCCGGTCGAAAGATCGAGGACATGGAGTAGCCGTACTTTCATTGGGAAATTCTCTGGGATATTTGCTCTTTATACCGAAATTTTCAGGAGACTTTTTAAATAGAATAATCGCAATATCTTGGTAGTAAAATGTGAAAAAGTTAACCGAAAATCGTTAGCATTGTATCTTAGACGCGAACAGAATTCATGTGGACGTAGCCTCCCACGCAGACGTTCTTAGAGCGGGTTCGTCACGCGTTCCTGCCCCACGGGAGGGTTGCGTGACGAGCTAAGAGAGCGTGTGCGTGGGAGGCTAGTGTGAACGGGGTCTTACTTGCCTTTGTTCTTGAGTGTGTTTACGTGTAATGATGAGTTTCAAACTAAGAAAAGCCGAGTAAAATTAAAACCGAACCACAACATCTACCCAGAGACATCTGACATCTCTGACATCTACCTAGTATATTAAGTGCCGTACTTACACCTTCCGCTGGCTAGTCGGGTGAGGATGATACTATTTTAATTTCATTTCATTAACTATTTTACATCAAACCTTTCCTGGACAAACACGTGACAGTGTATGTTCTCTTTATATGCCAGATCCATATATTTTGACTTCTCAAGTCTAAACTGAACGAAATGTCGAACCAGTCCGCCATGGACTTAGGCAGCAACTCAAAGGAAGAAGATATCTCAGATGGTGCAAATAGGGGAACTAAAAGGAAACACAGCGACGCCAGTAAAGACCCGCCTCAGCTTAGTGTTAAACTTCCCCGCATGAGTGATATCCAATCACCAACAAAGGATCGGAATCATGCACGCCTTCCTGTCGACATTTTGTTACTGACTGTAAAGGACTGTGAGTTCTTAGCTTGTTATATGCACCTGAACAATCCGTTCAGATGTTGGTTCGATGGTCTCGGTTTTGTTTACTTCGAGGACGAGAATGAAGGCCAAGAGGAGAAAGTAGAAGTTGCTTTATTGCGATGCCATGAAGGTTCTAGTGGTCCGGGAGGCTCCATAGTAACTACAAAAAATGCTGTCTCAGTGCTTATGCCCAAAGCAGTTATTTTAGTGGGAACGTGCGGTAGCCTCCGTCCTGAGGAAACCAAATTGGGTGATGTTGTAATTTCTGCCAAATTGACAACATATGGATTGAAGGTAGTGACAAGTGATAAAGAGCTGCACAATAATACAAGAACGTTTGCTAGCAAAAGATTTCTTGACCTCATTAAGGATTCAGCTCTTGGCTGGGAGGCTCCCTTGGAGAACTCGGAAGATCGAGATGTCAAAATTCACAGCAGCGGTGAGCTGTTGAGCGTTCAAGTAATCAATACAGAATTGCGGCGTAAACAGCTGGCTGAAACCTTTCCTCTGGCAGTGGCTGTTGACACCGAAGCCGAAGGTAATGAAATCCCTGGTGGGGTAGGGGTGGAAAGTTGGGGGCTGGGGTATTATAGCAAAATTAGAAAAAATAGGTTGCCCATAGCAACGCGTCCTTTTTAATGCCCTTAGGGGGTCCCTTAGGGGCAGGTTAAAAACAAGCGCGAGATTTAACGAGCGCGCAATCAAACTTGATTGCGATCGTCGCGACTTCGATTACGTCGAAAACACCCAGACAGAGGCTCACCATTTGGATAATCTGTTCAGCCTTCTAGGTTTTTAAAATTTACAGGTTTTGAGAACGCACCTTTCAATTTGATATCCTGTCATTCATTTCATTTCTCAGCTATACTCAATGGTCCCATTTATAAGTGGTGCCGTGTTTCTGTTGCAGGACTGTACACAGCTGCATTTGACCTCCAAGTTGAGTGGCTTGTTGTAAAGGGAATTTCTAGTTATGCAGATGGCAGAGAGACCACAAATGAAAAATGGAGCCAATTTGCAAGTGCTAATGCCGCTTCTCTAGTTGCCAAGATTTTAAATGATGATGTTGTCTTCAAAAGATGGCCTCATTATCAAGGAAACGACGACAATTTTATCAAAGGTAGGTTCGTTTAGTACACAATACATAATATAGTTTCCACTTTTATATCGTGCTGTTGTTACGACTTAACGATATGTTGGAAAAGCCAAGGAGATACTAAGGGTAAGTTTTTCCCATGTCGTTTAGAATAAAAACGACTTATATGGAAAAGCAAGGAAGGAATAAGAGAATGCTTAAGCCTTTAAATAACCGCTTAGTAAACCTTTACGTATCCACGGGTAAAAGTATAGTAAAGTTAAATACATCTTGTCTGATCATGTCCTTGTTAATTGTCGTGTCCCGTCAGTGTTAAAAAGAATTGATGTTACAAAGAGAAATTTGAGGTTGATCACTATCCACACGAATCTGACAGTCATGAAACCGCCTATCTATTTACCCGGATTCATAAGTGTGGACGTGAACGAAAATGAATGGCAAATTTCACAAGAATTGTGAAAACACAGGTAAAATTCGGAAAATTTCATGTTTAAGATGAATTTTGTGAAATTTGACATTTATTTTCTCTGGCTCCCATAAGAACGTTTCTTTGGTGTTATGAAAGATAACTAATTACATCTTCAGCTCTTGAAAAATGTAAAAAAAAAAATGCAATACTCTTTTAACTATTTTGGTACAAGGTTTTTGTCCACTGAAAATTGAAATTACTCAATTTCCTGGTGGATTCCGTCTTAAACGCTTTTCTCAATCTAGAATCATAATTACAGCTAGTAGACATTATGGAAACGGGGAAAAAACGCTATTGTACTTTTATAAGCTGTAAATTTGACAAGATGTCTCTTATCCAGTAACTGTGTCACGCTTCATTCCTTCCCTGAAAGGATGGAAAGAAAAGAAAATTTAAAAAGGAAAATAGAATTACACCATGGTCTCCGTACGAAATAGCATAATTCTCGTATATAAATGTCATAGAAAACCAAATGGAGTGTAATAAATAACAGTGCACATGGACTCCATGTTCTATCGCACTTTTTTAATAATCGTCGCATTTTTTGTAACACCTATCACACTTTGTAATAACATCGTCGCACTTTTTAATAACACTTGTCTCACTTTGTAAAAACACTTGTGGCACTTTGTGATAAACTTGAAATGGATGGTGGGAGGACAAGTAAATCAATAATAAGTATCATTATTGACAACAACAACAATAACAATAATAATAATAATAATAGTCAGCAATTACTGAATGAGGCTGAATATATAGGATATGAAGAATTAAGCAGATCGAGGCGCTGTTATCCACCTCGGCCGATAACACCCGCCGAGATCCGCTTAATTCTTCATATACTACGAAAGCCGAACTCATTAATTACTTTATTATTCATTCAAAATAATTCCTAGTTTAAAGTGCTACTACGACGAAAATTTTTGTTTTTGTTTCCGAGTTTTTTTAACATAATTCTTTTGTATATGTTCAAAATTATACAAATAGCGAAAAATTGGAACGATACTTGCGTACGGGGGCTGGAAATTTCCCACTGAAAAGTGCGTAAATACCGTCCGCCATTACAAAGTTCGCAAAGCAATAGCCCGCGAGATCTCCGCAAAGCGGTCGTGCGTTTGACCACGTGATTTATGCACTGTGACGTAGAAACATCAACTAAAAGATTCGCATTTGGGAAAAGTTTGTGAGTTTAGAGCCTTTTAACAAGACGTTTAAGATGTCATCTCCGTCGGATTCCTCTTCCTGCACATCTGAAAGTGATCTAGAAAGTTTTACAGTTGACGAAGTGATTGGGGAATTGTCTGAATTTGCGCCGTACGACGACAGTTGCGCGAACCCCTTGCTACCGAGGAAGAAGCCGCGGACTACAACGAAAGAGTTCATCGCGAAGAAGAAGGGGAACAACAGTTTCAACGAAGATATTCGGGAGAGGTGCCAGCGAATGAATGGTATGGTATTATCATGGAATGTAGATTTTATTTTATTTTCCAATTTCAACATACCCGTCGTTAAATCGTGCGCGTGACGAACGCGACTGTGTGTTTTGTTTAAGTTTACAATTTCGTTGCTATGTGATTAGCTGTAGTACTGATTTTATGCGATAGTTTTATTGAAGAGGTCAGACAATTAATAATTTTATACAGACGTATTTTTCTTGTGTTTGACGAATTTTTCACATTATTTTGCAGGTGTTCGTGCTCGAACTGCTCTGTCAGCCTTGTTACAAAAGCGTAGGAGTGCATTTGCTGCAAAGAGATCGATCGCTGCGAAGAGGTCATGGAAGAAGCCATTGGAGACCGGACCGTATGCATAACCCTCCATCCAGGGTTTGAACGCGTCTGCTTAACCCGCCACGTATTAGGAGTGGCTGCACTGGGCCTAAAAACGCGAGCTGGAAAGTCGTACACAGCTGTTCGAGGGCAAAGCAACAAAAGTGATGATGAGTAAGTTGGGGTATTGTTGACTTTGTATCGGTACGATCGAACCTTACATAGCATTGAATAATTGATACATCTAAGCTTATCGCCGTGGACTGATCTCATAGAATCACATTTTTTATTTTCTAAATGGCTTTATTGCCCCAACTGCTTATTTTTTAAAAGAGTATTTATTTATCTCCATCAATCCCTCCTTGAATTAACAGTGACCTCATTTCTCTAACTAGATTCCTGAGGTCTGTGGCCTATCGCCAATTTACAAGACTGCTGTGGAGTTATATTGGTAGTTCCAGGTGATACCCCTTGCCCTGTTGTGCCTACAATAAAATCAGGAAACAATTTCGAGTCAAAATGGCCATTATCGTGGATTCGAAGATGAAGAAAATGAATAATAAATGCACTGTTTGTTCTTGAAGAGTGTCATGTATGCCACTGGGGCCAAGAAAGGACCTACAGTAGTTGCTTGAATACTTGTCCGTAAGCACTTAATTTTGTGGGCCAAACTTCAGAATTCTCAGCCACTTACTCGCTTTTTTGTTGAATGACAAACTTGCCCACTGTGTGAAACCCCTGTTCTTCTAGCGTTCAGTTAAACTCAAGTTTAGTGGCTGAGAATTCTGATGTTGCTCCAATTTTCATGTACACAAGTAATAAAAATTAAATCGAATTCAGCCTGAATTTAATTACAGTTTTAATGTATCGTTTCTTTCTTTTCACTCGGCTCACCAAGCACTGCAAAACTTAATAGCAGGTTACCTGCTGGAAACTTTCCTAGCAGGTCTGGTTGACTCTTGCAGACTTTTGTCTGGCTACAGGTTCTGCAGAAACTTTCTAAGGTTAACAAGGTACCTGTCTGTGATACAGAAAGTTTGGGGTTTGAAAAAAGAAGCACAAGTGGCAGAACTGAAACAAAAGAAGAAGTTTGGAAAGGAAAACAATTCCCTTCGGTTCCTCTCGAATGTTTTTTTTCTTGTAGATCCAACCTATAAAAAATGATTGAAAGGAAATACTCATTTAATCATAGAATCTGAAATAATAAAACAACAATAAAAAAAAAATGATTATTTTTATTGTTTTTTTCAGGGGTGTTGCCAGTTTTTCAACTTGTTGTAAACCTGGCTAATTGTGAGTTGGGATTATTAAATAATCAAATATTGATAAAATATAATAAAAAATATAAAGATAGACAGTTACGCCCATATGACTCATCAACATCAATTATTGTTGACTCACCAGCATTCACCATCAGCAACTGCTTCGGCTCTCGTATGCTCTTAAAGGTTTCAACCCACTGATCTTGATTGGAGATTAACTTTACTCTTCAGTCTTGTGACTTTGCCCCTTAACTGAGTCACCTCACTCCTCAGGGTTTTGCATGTTGTGCAATTCCCAGCATGTCAGTTGGAGTATCCTACAAAAACAAACTCTTAACATAAATACAGGTTGTAATGACAAGACTTTAGAATTTTTGTGTTTTAGTATTGTTGTAAAATAACTGCACATGTAGTTTTCCATTGTTATGATAATACAAAGATGCAAATAAACATTGATTAGAGTTATGCTTCACCATAGAAACCTGTTCAAGTTCAGGAATCGTTAATGATTCATCAATCTGCATAACTTCATCCATATCCTGCACTTTTTCGATTCCCTGAGCCTCCAGGATCTGCATGGTCTCAGTAACCTCATCAGTGCCTGAAATCCCTTGGCTCTCGAGAGCTGTCTTATCACCAGGAGTACCTAGGACCTCTGAAGCCATCTCAGCATCAACACTTATCTCATCCGTCTCAGTCTCAGGGATGCAGCCCTCTTTTCAGGATTTACCTCAAGCAAAGAACCCAAAGAAAGTCCATTTTTGGTCGTTTTAAAAGACTCGCGTGTAACTCTTAATTTGCTGTAAGATTTCTTGGAGGGAAGTTTGGAGTGCTGTCAAATCTCAAAGTAACAGGAAGATAATCTCTCAAAAAATAGAGAGCCGGATTTCTATGTAGCTTCACTTTTTCTAAATTTTACGCTTGATTGGAAAGGTCTGGGAATTGGGGAATTGACTTCACGTCCACTCAGCGCAAATGCCCATTTTACTATAACTATGAGAAGAAAGCAGAAAAGTATGAAAACACATGCAACAATATGGGAAGTCCAAATAGTCAGAGCATTCATTACACGAATATTCAACAACGATGCCAGAAAAAATCATGTCACAGGTAAATGGGGAAATAAATATAATGGTGAAAAGCACGGCGCAAACACATTGTAATTTCACTCACCGATCGTCGACTCCGCTTTGATAGTGTTTGAGAGGATTTTTTCCAAATGGTTGGAAACGTCCCCTTCTTCAAATTCCTTTTCATGTCTTTCATCGGAAAAGCAAGCGTAAAACAATCCCTTGTAAAATGCTCCGATCACACAGCAAATTTTCCCACTGGGTTGAAATCCTCCCTATGAATGGACACGAACCTTTTCCACTTTAATCTAACACTGCCCGAATCAGGAGAATTATGAATAGAAATCCTAATTCATCGTTCTTTACGTTTCCACAGTCCTGAACAACACAACGTCTACCAGGCATACTTTCGCTTTAAGTCAAAAAAAAGCGAAGAAAGAACCTCAAAAGCTTCCAAAATATCTCGTC